TTTCAGTCTTATGTAAATGAGTGAGATTTTTTTTTAATGTAAATGAGTGAGAAATTAAGTGATTTATGATTGCAATTACAATCATAAATCACTTAATTAACAGATAGTTTCTTTTTTTGCAATATAAATTTCCACAAGATACTTCCATGATTTTAACATTTCTGTATTATAAGATAATTTCGAGTTTCCAATATGCAATTGTAAATATTGAAAGAACAATTGGAACCAAAAAAAATTCATAAATAAAAACAGTATAATAGTTTTTTTACACAATAATTCAAAAACAAAAACGATATATGCATCAAATTATATATCAATCTTACACATTTATATCTTATATATATAACTAAAATATTTATTAATATTGCCTATACAATTATTAATTCAAAGTTTTTATGACTAAAATTAAAGTTGATTAAAAGGAAAAAAATTATTAATTTCAGAAATTTTACATCAGATGTAATTAATGCTGTTACAATGTCATCATCATTTATAACAGTTGAAATAGTACGTGCTGGCCTTAGTTTATTACCATTTACTGCTATTGGATTCATTATCATGTGCATATTTTCTACCGTAACAACAATTATCAGTTCTTTACTGGTTTCACAATTTCAATATTGCAAGGTAAATTAACAAAATTTCTATGAGGGGGAGAAAAAAATCAGGAAAGGTTAAAGAAAACATTTACGCGTTAATTAACAAAAATCGATCTCCCTTTTTTTTCTTTTTCTTTTCACAAATGATATTGCAAAATTGATTGTTAACATTTCATTCATTTCCAATAGGGAAAGTAACAAATTTTTATTTCAGTGATTTGGGAATAAATAATGGCTGATATGAATATACTGCATCAATTTATTGTAGATTGTGGTAGCGGTGGTAGCTTGCGTGTCACCACTTTTAGCGTGTAGTACAGCACTCGGTATTCTGCTATGGTGCGGTTTACGATTTGGTTCCATCTTGTGTGTCACACCATTACTGGTATTGGCCATTGGTGTTGATGATGCATTTTTGATGATAAACTACTGGCAACAACAGATTTATCAACAGTATTGTTAACATTTTTTTCCTTTAGTTTATTTTCTTCACTTTAATTTAACTTCATGAAATTTGCTGTAAATTGATTTTGAAAGGCAAAAAAAAACATGCAAAATGTATAAGTTCTTTTATAGAAAAATGATAACAAAAGAACTGTTTAAAGACAACGAAATGGAAAGACTATGTGAAAGAATGTGCAATATGCTACAAGAAGTTGGTAAGTGTCGTATCATCATTTATCATCAAAAATTTAGATGTGCCGCATAAAATTTCGAAAAAAAAAAGTTTTATAAAAAAGAAATACTGTCCAACTTCTGTCTTTTGTAACGATTGAAGGCTATAGTGGAAGTGAACGTTGATGACCTTTTAGCTCTATGAATTTCTCAGAAAATTTTACAGGTCCTTCGGTTACAATAACAACATTAACGAATGTGCTAGCATTTTGTGTTGGAGCGCTTTCACCAATACCCGAAATTCAAGTTTTTTGCATTGGAAGTGCTGCAGCCATGATCGTTGACTTTATCTATCAGGTTTTAATTTTACACAAATTCATCATCCATTTTCGTTTTTATTAGCTTCAAAATTTTTAATAATTATTAGCATTCCAATGATAAAAAAGTTATGATACTTCATTATTACAGAAAAATATTGCTATTTTTGAAAATTACTAATATATTTTTAAAAATATCACAAATTAATTTTAACGTGTATTGTCTGGGCTATCAAAAACATTAATGGAAAATTTCATAAATATTAATGAAAAATTCCATAAACAGATATAAAATTAACACAAAGGAGTTCATAGGATTTTTTTTTCTTAAATATAAATCCAACCACGATCATTTTATTAGCTTCACTGATGATCGATTTCATATACCGATATTTGTTACTTTCAGTTGTGGAATTATGATCAAAAGTAAACAGTGAATGACTTCGATTATTTTTCATAGTTCCTTTCCAATACTATTTTTAAATAACTGTTTAACAGTCAACTACCACTTTCTTAGCCTATTATCAATCTTAATCTATTATCATTATCAATCTATTATCGTGCTCGCTTTAACTCATTATTATTTTCATTCCTTCAAACTCTTTATTTCCTTTTTATCACTTTTATTACTTAAGAAAACAATGTAAATTATTTTTTTAAAAAAATTTATTATTTGACAAGATGCGCACGAAGGAATTTGGATTTTCGAGATGTATCATTTAGATAACACTATTCGCTGCAATAATGGTAGTGGTAGGAGGTCGTGAACTGCAGCTTGAAAAGTCTATGCATGCAATGGAACATAAGAAACGTAGAAATTTTGACGATCTGAATTCTTTACTCAAAAAGTGAGTTTATTAATTTTTATTTTCTATTACTCATAGTTTAGATATTCATGACGGGTTTTTTCATACGGAAATTAAAATATAATATTTTGAGTCAGTCATTCTTTTTAATTTTGTATTATAGTTATTATGATGCCATCTTCTTATCCATAATGATTAGTTTAGTTTCAAGATCATAACATTTGATACTACAAACTTTTAATATTTTTGAGTCAATCGTTTTAACTTCACATCACATAATTGCTGTATCTTTTTATCTGTAATGATTAATTTCAGGATCCTTCAAATTCATCAATGCTAGATAAAATAACATTTGTTTATATTTTAATACGCGCATAGAATTCAATAATTTTGTATTTATAATTTCTGCAAACTTTAGAATTGACTGATTTTTATTAGCTTCAAAATTTTTAATAATCATTAGCATTCCAATGATAAAAAAATTATGATACTTCATTATTACAGAAAAATATTGCTATTTTTGAAAATTACTAATATATTTTTAAAAATATCACAAATTAATTTTAACGTGATGGCAATATCTAAGTTTGCATCTCTCGTAATTTAAAAGTTTTGATCCATAACTAAGCTTAAAGCTAATTCTGCTATTTATTGTTGTCACTTATTTTTTAAAAATTCTATTTGCAGTTTACTGAACAGATATTGCTCTATTTTGTGTACCACATCGTTCTCAGTGTTTGCCGTTGCCGGTCTGCTCTTGTTCTGGTCAATATCAATATACGGGGCTCTCACCATTAGTGTTGAATTGAAACCTGAGAAATTGATAAAGCAGGATTCAGATATTGTGAAGGTATTGTTGCATACATTTTAATGATTTCTTTTATACCGAAATATTAAAAATGTAAAAATTCATTTCAAATAGTCAGTGAAATTCAAACGTCCACTTTTTCAATTTCTCTATCTAATTTTAAGCAAGAAATTATTGAAACAATAAAATATTTGAAAAATAAATTTTTAAGGTATTACAACTACGGGATGAATATATCATGCCATATTATGCTCCAGCACTTATCTTCGTTGGTAGGCCAGGAAATTTGAATAATTCTAATAGTATTCTCATGTTGCATAAGATCGTATGTATACAATATTTGTTATTCATTTCGTTTTTGTTTTATTAATTTTACGATAAACAGTAAAATGAATACTTTTTAGCATAGGAAATAATTAAGAATTGAATCAATTGGACTAAATATTTTAATAAAAAATTTTAACTAAACAGTAAAATTTCTATAAGAACTGTTAAATTGCTATCAAACTACAGTAAGAGCTATCAAATTGCCATTTAAAAAAATTTCTTTAAAATGGTAATTTGAAAGCACTTACTGCAGCATAATCTTTTCCAGTTTTTGTTAATCGTTGTAGGAAGTTTTTTGTCGAATTAATTTCAAATCAAAAAACTTTTTGAACGATTATTTTTATTCATATATGAAGGTCATTTAAAAAGATGACGTTGAAGTTTCTTTCATTCATTTCTCCCTTTATTTGTTGTTTTTTTTTAATTTTTTGTAGAATGCAAATAGCAAATAAAAGAAAATGAAATGCATTTTTATAGGTTGATGATTTCGAAGCATTACCAAGTTCAGTAGGACAAGCAGCAACAAAATTTTGGCTAAGAGATTATGTTGATTACATCGATGATGCTGATATCACTGATACAGAGCAAGTTTCATTTGATGGATCATGATATCTCAATTAATTAAGACATTTTTATTATTGCAACAGTCCCAGGAGATGACACTATTTTTATCTTTACCTTTGATTCTATTTGAAATTTCAGTAATAATGAAATATATGAATTTTTGGACAGGAATTTAACAGCAATTAGCATCAAGCAGTATGATCTGCAGAATTTTCTTGCATGGCCAGAATTTCATCATTGGAATGGATTTATGCAATTCGATTTCGATAAACAGTTAGCTTCTTCTTGAAGGCATTATTTATAGTAACAATTTAGCGCTAGCAATTGTTGATCTTACAATCTTCAAAATGTTTATAACTGTCTTATTTTTGTTAAGGAATTTCATGATGACAAGAAATATGCATAACTGATTAGATAGGATATCAGTTGCAAGTTAAGCAAATTATCAACTGATAGGGTTTTATTTGTAAATTTATGAATTTGTTTGTATTCTACTTTAGTGGTATGGGGTATTTGAAAAGTTATTTCTTCATGATATCATCACATTCTGATCTCGGGAAATGGTCCAGTCGTGCAAAATTGTTGAATCAGTTACGAAAAGTTGCCGATCGGGTATTTTGTTTTGTTTGTACAAGAATTTGCAATATAATTTTTCTGAGATTTCACTAAAAATTAACTTTTTTTAATTGATAATTTATCAATATCGTCGCTATTTAATCATACAGAATAATTTGATTTTCCGGAATTTCATTTTTGTACTTTTCCATTTGTTCTTTGGAAATTCTTGATCATTCCCAATCATTCCCATCGTTGATATTTCGCACTTTATCTTCATCTGTAATAAAGGAATTGAAGAGGGAGATGAAATGATGATCGATGCTGACAGATATTATTTGACAAACGGTGGTGTAATCAAAAAACAAAAAAAAAGACCATAAGCTGTTCTATTAATTTACAAGCAACATCCGCTTACATTATTTAAAATTTCGCAATAGACAAAAATATTTTCCATTTATAACTTCCACAATCATCTCACGATCAATTATTTGATAATTTCACTTTAATTAATGCATTTGTAGTTTAATGAATTAATATAATAAATTAGTGAGATTTGTTTATTCATTGCTCCAACTTTGTATGAATTCAACGATGTGATTATTGAAAATATTTCATTTCAACCACTAAATTACTTTTCTAAACAAAATTCATTTGCATTCATCGATAAACTCATTCCGGTTGCAGTATTCAATGCATGAAGTGAGTGTTTTCGATGATGATGCAAAATTTTTGGACATAATTGGAACACTGCTCAATCAAACAGTTCAATCGTCTGCTTTTACAGTGATCTTTATGATGTTTGTTTGCTTTCTTTTTATCCCACAATGTGCTGCTGTCATCATCGCTACTTTCTCCATTTTAAGTATTTTTATTGGTAAGTTGGAGACTTAGATTTTTTTAAAAACAAAATTAAAATATAATAAAATTATCTATCATATCTTAATTTTTATTTAAGAGATATAAGGCTATTTATTAAATAAATGTAAAAAGAATTGGGTAAAACTTGAATCGGATGTGAATGTAAACAGAATTGGATAAAATCTTAATTGGATGAAACTTGAATTCGACATGAATGTGAATAAAATTGACAAAACTTGAACTGGATATAAAAGTAAATAGAATGGAATAAAATTTGAATTTCATCAATTAGAAATTTAATGACATAAAGATAATAAACAAAATAATTGCAGGTGTACTTGGCTTGTTATCATTATGGAATGTTGATTTAGACCCAATTGTTATGTCAGCCTTGATAATGTCCATCGGTTTTAGTGTCGATATTCCAGCTCATGTCACCTATCACTTCTTTCGAGCTGGTTTGCAATTATTTCAAACAGAAAAAAAAAATCCAAGCAATATTTTGATTGACAATTTTGTTTTGAAAAAGCAAAAATTGTATTCTCGAATACTAAAGTTTCCTGGTTAAGTCTTTACAATAAATTCTGCTCAGCACTCACTTATATAATATCCTGTTTTAGTAAGACAATTGAAACTTAAATTTCTTTACCAGAAATTACTCAATTTATATTATCACTTTTTTACTTCAATTATTTATTTTGCTCAAACATGACACAAATTAATAAACTTGTCCTTATTTACCATATAGTTCACTAAGCATACAGTAAGCCTGTCTTCTTAACTTCTATCAAAGTAATACCTCTTTTAAATTTATCTTCTTCTTTCTTTATTTCTATTTCCATTACGATCATTCTCTGTTTGTTTAGATGAAGACACAACCGAAGCTTCACTTCGGCACTGTCTTAGCACAATCGGATTTCCAGTGTTGCAGGCTGCAACCTCAACATTACTTTGCGTGTTCAGTCTTCAGTTTAGCGATCTTCATATGGCTCATGTTTGTTTAGAATAAAAACCATTTCTCTCATTTATTTTATTGCCTTAAATTTGCAAGTTGTATTGCAAATTTATTAACTTATTTCCTAGTATGGTAAATTTTAAATCCTTTTAATTCATCCAGAATGATATTTTTAAATGTGATTTATATATTCTTATATTTTACAGGTTTTCGTAAAAACGATGATATTGGTTGTAATAATTGGTTTCATCCATGGTTTAGTAATAATACCTGTATTGTACAGCATTACATCCCGTATTCAATTACCGGGAAGAAAGCGAGTATTCAATATCAATGGTGAAACATCACCAAAAGTTGTTTCAATCTCAGAAGATTTAACTGTTACGCTTGCAATTGATGCAGAATTGAAAATTTCCATTCAATAAGCGTTTTTTTGTTTTGAAATAGATAACGATTTTTTTATTTTGCAGCATGACTTTTTTTCCCACAACTTGGCTACTTTTAATCAATTTTGTTGACAGATAAGATTTAGTTAAGAGTGATTAATGAAATGATTTATTATATGCAAATCTCATTAACTTTTTTACTTTTTTTTATAGCAATTAATTATGAAAAATTGATGATATGAAAGGAGTCTTCTTCTGGTAGATCAAATATTATCCAGTATTATTTAACATTAATCACAAATGATAAGAAAAAAACAACGGGTAAGAATAAAAAAAATATTGCAGAGCTGTACAAATGAAAGGATCGAATTTTTTTTTCATGAAATTCGATGAAATATCATTCAATTTTAGTTGAGTACGGTTCTAAGCATAATAATTACCGATTCTTGTCCCGAATAAAATTCCGGTCAAAACATCTGATTATCGCATGGTGTCTGGCATGATCACCATAGTGATAAGCAAAACTGCTATGTATCAGAATGATAAATTTCTGCTTTTACTCATCGTCCTTTATGAGCCTGAGCTACAGCTATTTGCAGGCATTGTATCCATTCTTCAGCTTTGCTTTGATCATTCGCCTACAAATTTTCATGCTGATTTAATTACATTCGAATGATTAGCAATCCGAGCATATCACATAAAATCTTTTCGTTAATTTTGTGCTTTGTATAAAATCAAAAACTCGAAAATAATTTTTAAAAAATGAGAGAAGATTTATTATTTAAAGGTTATCCTAATAAATTTACTCTCGTTATCATTGACACAAACATAGTATTAATGAAAATGATCAAAAGGCAATGTTTATTTGATAAGCTAGCGAAGTTTATCAAAAATATTTTGAGGTCATTAATAGTTTTATTTGTTAGCGCTAGGCATAATGAATTAATGAAGACAGAAATATGAACGAATGAGTTTTATTTGAAATAATTTAATATTTATAATTAACGTTGTGTCATCACAATCCTATCAATTCTAATGAACCATTTGTGTCTGTTTTTTTAAATATCTGCTAATAAAATATGTATACATTATTTGGGTGCTGTCATTACCATTCATTGCTATCGCTATAAAGAACGAATTTTTGATCCTCTTTCTATTAATATTATTAATTACTTTTAAAACGTAGGAAATATCATCATCGGTAAATATCTCGAATGCTTTCGGCAGTGATTTACGACTCTTCCTTCCTTTACCGAGTGATTTCACGGAACGTATCTTTCGTAAATCAAGCGCTGGCGAGATAATTTTATCCTCTGCTAGCTAAAAGTTTGTAAAGTTAATAAATGTTTTGAAGTTATGATATCATAATAAGTTAGAATTAATTACGTCAAAATTTAATCCTCAAAGTATTATTGGTATAAAATTCAACGTACATCTGAGATTTCTTCCCGACAAATTAGCGCTGAACCAGACAATGTAAAGTATTTGGTATGCCAGCGTTTCAAGAATTTCCATCTTCCTCGTTTCTCTTTCAGTTGGCCTTCAAGAACAGGTAAATGTGGTGAATCCGGTCGTAAAATAGTCCTACAAAAACCGATAAAACACATGTAGTGAAAGATTAAATAGAACTTTAAAGCAAAGTGGAATATAAACTTCTTTCACAAAACTTCAAGAATCAAAAATTTCGAAGTAAAACTATTAGTTCTATTTACAACTAATAGTAAAACTATGATGTGAAATTGAAAAAAAAGTAATAACTTAGCACGTTCTGGATGGTTGCAACTAAAGCAAGACCATTTTTGCAGTACCGTATTGTAGGAAAATGAATCAAAATAACGGGCGTCAAGAAGTTCTTTCAATATTTGTTGCTGTTCCTTAAAGGAGATCTTCAGCATAATTCGAATATTATTTCCATGAAAATCTGGCCAAAGAATGCATAAATGAACTAAATTTAAGAAAAGTTACAGAATCTAAATTTATGTAATAATATTTGAAATATTCGAAATATTCTGAAAATAAACCTTGTGAGCCGGAAATGCAGAAGTTACGAGCTCTAAAAATGGACGATTCCGAGTTTGAGCAGAAGGAAGAGAATTCCAGCAATTGGACAGTGTCTGATATGTTTCAGAACATTGGGCGATCACTTGACCGGTTGTTTCGATGCTCGCTGCTTCCATCTGAATCAAATATTATACATCCTTATCACTAATACACCAATAAAATCTTTATCAGTGATATAAATTCTGACATGGTTAATACAATTCTTACAATACATAATCGTTAGCAAGTGATATAAGTTCTAATTCGATCATATATGAGCATAAAATATGATAGCAATGAAACTTTAAATGCTGTGCTTATAAAAAATTTAAAAATTTTTCCAACCATAAAAAAATTTCAAGATTTCTACGAACTGTTTTTGTAAAATATCTCATTCAACAAGAATGATAGCTGAATATCAGATATTTGAATCACCTCAGAAGGTGCTTGCTGCAACTGCCTGATATAAAGTCGCAGGTAAATGAATGTGTTTCAGTGTAGTTTTTTTAAAAAATGAACTTAATGTAAACATTAAAAAAAGAAGTAATCTATAAACGTATCGATCAATACAACCAGGTTATTAGTAGCAGTGTAGAAATTTACCTGTAAGAACATAAGATGAAGCCATATAGGTGCGACATGCGTTTTAAAACTGAATAGTTGATTTGAATCATATATACAATGGTCATCGGCTACTTGACATCGGAAATGAACCCGCATTCGATGCTTTGCTCCTGGAAAAATGATAGTTTTTATGATGAAGAGAAATAGATTTTTGAAATCAAGAATTTAAATTTAATAGGAAGAAAAGTAAAATATCACATACCTTTATTAGTATCACCAATACAAAGTACCGGTATTGGATATGTTTTACTGATATTATGAATGTAATTTTGTATTTTACTTCGGCGATGATCAACAAACTGCAACACCACATCTCCACGATCTATCGTATTCTATAAATGTATTTTTCTTTTTCAAGTCCTGTATTTGAATAAATGAGATAAAATTATATTTAATACTACAAATCAATATAATATATTTAAAAATCGATTTTTTTCAAATATACAGTATGTGAAAAGATAACAATCAGTAACGAGTTTGTTTTTATTTTACAATTTACACAATTTCTTTATTTTTTTTCTGCCATTTACTGATAATAAACAATCATATAGCATTTCGTTATATCACAATTTATTAATTTCAAATAAATTTATCCACAGATTCTTCTTTTTAATTGGAGTCAGGAAAAAGAAAAAAAAAAAGAAAAAAATCCAACCAATGTATGTGTTCGTTCCCTTCCGCTAACATATGCGGTAACGGTATCCGTTGATACAGCATCACTTGTTGCGGTAGTATTTGTTGCTGTTCCAGCATGACTTGTTGATGATAAAAAATCTTCCAATATAAAATGTGGTGGTATCATTGGAGCAGAATTTCCAATAGCTAATTTAGAACTAATTGAATCATTATTAACGGGGAAAGTGGTTTCAGTAACTGCTTTTGTAATTTTTGGAGCACTGGTAGCTATAATTGTCGCAGGAGCGGGTGTTGTTATTGTGGTAGCTGATCGTCCTATTGATGGTGGTGGTGACATCCATTGTGTAGCATTTATTCGACGCTGATGCATTGCAACTGGACGTACTCGTCCATCCTTACCCATCTGTAATAATTTGATGGCAATCAACATAATATTTGCATGAAATGAAATATGCCTAAATAATTTTCAAGGACGTTGCAACGAAAAGGATAACTTGTGATTGTTGACATTTTATCGAGCAACCCTCAAAGATCATTTGATCATTCATTCATTCTCGATATTGTTATTAGTTATTAGGGAATTTGAATATTTTATTCAAAATTGCAACCTGTACAGCAGTTGGTAACAGTGGTGAAGGGGCGATTTGTTGCATTGTTTGACCTTTTGGTGGTTGATAGGATGGTGGTAGACATATTGGTGCAAATGCAATACCATCACAACGTCGATTACTTTGTGATGACATTATCGACAATGGGGAATCGCGGGATGTTGCTTCAGTAACCGCTATATTTTCACTATAAAATTTTTTCGTTATTAAATTATTTCATAAAATTAAATGCTTCGAATTTAAAGAAAAATAAAATAAAAAAAAAGGAAAAAATTAAAGAATTTAAAACATTTATAGGCTGTTTTTCTGGAATAAAAGATTGTATTAAAATGAGATGAACAGCTAATAGATAGAATGTAAACTACAATGATGGATCGATCTTAATCATATCAGTTAAGTCGAAAGTTCTCCTTTTCTGGATATTTTTATTACAAAGAAATCAAATCAACTTCATCAACACAAATGATGGCTATTGTTTGTCCTCTTTCTGCAATCTTAATTTTGTGTAATTTCAAAAATAAATATTCATTCTAGATTTGAAAAATAAACAAATAAATACTAACATGTATGGATTCAAGCTACCGTGCGATCGACTGGTTTGATTAATGAATGAGCAACTGGACCGTAACCTACTGCACATATATGCGTTTGCTAAATTCTCGGTATTCTTATCAAGTTCTTGTGCTGAAAGCTCCGCTGAATCACTTATATTTACCGTTGTACGGACACCGCTGAAATATTGGAATATCAAAAAGGTTGTTGGATTTCAGCATTTTTCGAATAATGGAAATAGAAGAGAGAAATTCAAGACTAAACTTCAAGTATGAACCATTGCCTTCATAGATGAAGTTTTATACACAATGTTGCTCGTTAAGTTACACTTGAATAATATGAAATACATGTAAATATAATTTCTTTAGCTTAAATCAAACGCACATATCATCTCTAATTCTTTATGATAAATAAATTTGAATAAATTTTCTATCTTTTCTATTTTATTGTATCAATTTCATCAGAAAACTTCAATTTCGAATTAATATAATTCTAGTACAAATTAAGACGTAAAGTTTACACGAATAGTTCAAAAGGTTAATGAAGGTAAGGAATAAAGAGTAGAGATGAAGATGAAATATCGTAAAGGTAGTGCGAGAGAAATAAACGGATTACCTTGAAATAATTGGGGCATCGATCTTGGCAGATAACTTCGAAACAAGAGAATCATCAGAATGCTCCACACCTGTATTACCTGCAATACTGTCCACAGCTGCATCTTCCTGGCATCCTGCTTGATACAAATAACCATTTCTGAATTTCATAAATTATAAAATATCTTTCAAGTCTATCTTTTATTGATTTTTCATTATAATTACTAATTAGTCTTTGTTGTAGCATACTAATTATCCGAACCATCAAACATTTCAGGTGTTAAGTTTTAGAATTTCATTGCTTATTTCTAATTGAAAATCTAAAAATAAATCAAGTATTTTTCGAAGCATAAATATAAACTGAGACGAAAGAATATTACCTATACATATTATACATAAATAATTATACATGTATAATATAATAATACATAATAATATAATAATACATAATAATATAATAATACATAATAATATAATAATACATAAT